GCTGCGACACTGTGAATACAATCTATATGCTGACGATCTGCAAATCTACCATCACTGTAAACCTCAAGATCTAGCCGATACCGTTAACAGAGTAAATAGTGACATCATCTCAATTCTCACGTGGGCCACTTCAAACAAACTGTTACTAAATGCGAATAAAACGCAATCAATTATTATGGGTACGTCAAGATACATAAACGCAATTGATCTAACTTCAGTTCCAAAAATTACTGTTGCTGGAGTCGATGTGACATATTCTGCTCACGTAAAGTACCTAGGAGTTTGGATTGCGAACAACCTATCTTGGGATCTGCAAGTATCGCACATTACGAACAAGGTTCGCTCTACGCTACACCAGCTCAAGCTATGCAGACATCTTATTCCTGATACACTAAAAATAAAACTTGTTGTCTCTCTCATCTATCCGCACATTGACTATTGTTGCGCCATACTTACTGACATCACTGCTGAACTTAATCTGAAATTATATCGAGCCATGAACGCATGTATGAGGTTTATCTTTTGTATCAAGATCGATGAACACATCTCGCCATACTATACAAGGCTCCGCTGGCTCAAGGTTGACAAAAGAAGGGAGTACCTCGTTGCCTGTCTTCTTTTCAATATTCTTAAATATCAGCAACCAGATCTTCTTTACAGGCTATTCTCCATTAAAGTCTGTTCATCATCCAGATCCATGAGATCTGCTGAAGACCTTCTCTCGGTGCCTCAATGTCGTACAGAACTTTACAGGCGGTCTTACAGACTTAGTGCGATCAGATTATGGAATCGTCTTCCTCTAAACTTACGCAACGAATCTTCATCGGTCGTTTTTAAAAATGGGCTCTATGCGCATTTACTCGATCTCAATGCTGAAGTGTGAATGATTCATACGTTTTTCTCCGACTTGCCTCTTTCTACAAATCTGACTTACGCCTTTCTTCCATCGCATGCATGTCTCTCTTTAATTAATATTGTTTCTGCCTATTCAACCTCTATGTATTACACACACACACACACACACACACACACACACACACACACACACACACACACACACACACACACACACACACACACACACACACACACACACACACACACACACACACACACACACACACACACACACACACACACACACACACACACACACACACACACACACACACACACACACGCGCCCACACACACACACACACACGGGGTGGTGGCGTGCAAAGAGGGTTTTCAGCTCCCCTCCCGCACCCACCCTGCCGGTAGGCAGGGTGGACCTCGCTTTACAATTTACAAAGTACATGCTACATTGTAAAGCAAGGTCCACCGTGCCTACCGGCGGGGTGGGTGCAGGAGGGGGGCCGAAGGACCCCCTTGTACCTCACCCTGTGTATGTGTGTGTGTGTGTGTGTGTGTGTGTGCGCGCGCGAGCGCGTGCTTCCAACTATGTATCAAATATCTGAATAATACTGATTGAAATATATAAACCTACTTAGTTCATTGTAATTTTCTATCATTTTCTTTTCGTTTTTTGATGTAAAAGTTGATAATTCATGCGAAAATGTGTGCAGTTTTATGTCCCAAGCATCAGTCAGTCACTATCTTTAATTGTTCATAACTTTGTAGTAAACAACGAGCGCCGATTAAATTAGAAGACAAAGTTACTCAGAATTATATCCTTGACAACATATATCAAGATCGTTGAAATCGGTGAGGTCGCCCTTAATCTTAAGTTTTACCAACAAAATGCAAATCTTCTAGGTAGCAACAACCTCGCGCAACATCTTCGCACATGGCGTACAAATCTTGCAGACGCAGAGCGTGCAAATCTGATGGTTGCAATTTTCTACTATCCCTCAAATATTGTAGCAGATCACCAATTTCCATTAATTCCAACACAATTAATGGAGAATTTTCGTCTGAGCAGACGGTCAGCAATCTTAGCACATGTTTGTGTCGGAAGCGATTCATAAGCCTTGCAGAATCTTTGTATAAGCAGACGGCAAGCAATCTTAGCACATGTTTGTGTCGGAAGTGATTCATAAGCCTCACCTCTTCTAAAAACTTCTTTTTCTTTTTCGAGGAAGCATCTTTTCGAAGCATTTTTATGGCAGCGGGTATTTCTATGCCCGGTTTTTCTAAATTTTTTACTGTTCCTCGAAACACTTGCGAAATATTTAAAATAAATTTAAATTTATACTTCATTAAAAAATATATAGTTTAATGTTAAGTGACATTATATATTTTATTTTGTATTAAATAATAACGAAAAATACATGGTAGAGTGCATGTGTATATGTTATTTCACAAAAATTTTGCATTACTTATAATCTCTTATAAAAAATTATTCATCTAATTATATTTATCGAGAAATGCGTATGTATTTCAATTTCTATAAATCTAGAAATTAGCGTATAACATTGTAAAAATTAGCTTTTACCATTCCGAATGCGCCGCTGGCTAAAAGTTTTTCTAATCTGATTTCTTCACGTTTGATTTTGGTCAGTACATATTCATCCGAATTATCTTGCAACATAGGATTGTGTAACGTATTGAATTGAATGTTACCGTTCGATATCTCATGTAAAATCGCTAATTCGAGGTCGGTCATTTGAGCAGACGGTCAGCAATCTTAGCACATGTTTGTGTCGGAAGCGATTCATAAGCCTAGCCCCTTCTAAAAACTTCTTTTTCTCTTGCGAGGAAGCATTTTTTCAAAGCATTTTTATAGCAGCGGGTATCTTTACGCCCGATTTTTCTAAATTCTTACTTCCATTAATTCCAACACGATTAATGCAGAATCTTTGTATAAGCAGACGGCAAGCAATCTTAGCACATGTTTGTGTCGGAAGTGATTCATAAGCCTCACCTCTTCTAAAAACTTCTTTTTCTTTTTCGAGGAAGCATCTTTTCGAAGCATTTTTATGGCAGCGGGTATTTCTATGCCCGGTTTTTCTAAATTTTTTACTGTTCCTCGAAACACTTGCGAAATATTTAAAATAAATTTAAATTTATACTTCATTAAAAAATATATAGTTTAATGTTAAGTGACATTATATATTTTATTTTGTATTAAATAATAACGAAAAATACATGGTAGAGTGCATGTGTATATGTTATTTCACAAAAATTTTGCATTACTTATAATCTCTTATAAAAAATTATTCATCTAATTATATTTATCGAGAAATGCGTATGTATTTCAATTTCTATAAATCTAGAAATTAGCGTATAACATTGTAAAAATTAGCTTTTACCATTCCGAATGCGCCGCTGGCTAAAAGTTTTTCTAATCTGATTTCTTCACGTTTGATTTTGGTCAGTACATATTCATCCGAATTATCTTGCAACATAGGATTGTGTAACGTATTGAATTGAATGTTACCGTTCGATATCTCATGTAAAATCGCTAATTCGAGGTCGGTCATTGTCGGAGGCAAAACTTGCTCGTTACTTCTTTTGCGTTGTCGATACACTGTTATAAAATTGCAATATACTTATTTAATAGTGTTCGGGAGTCGACCTCGACGAAATCGCCCGAATCTTTAGAAACGGTCAGCGATGAGCGAGAAGCTGTGTGTAACGCGGATCCGTAGATCCGCTGGAAGACAAGGAGATTGAGAAAAGAATCGAGTGCAGATTGTTTGCAATGTTCTTTTATTTTGAATGATAGGAGCGAGTGTCGGCACGTATTACGCGATTCCTACGGAGATCTTTGAAATGTAAGGTTAATTACTGCCTTTAATGCGGATCGAAAATCTTGATGAGCTTCTTGCTAGAAACTCTCGCGAGAGCGGAAATCTTGACCGCGAACGCTGGATGTAATGTTGCGCTAGGCAGAAGACATTCGCTATGCGGATAACGAGCGTCGACTCTCGGACTCCAAACAATTAACAGTCACAATGTCTTAGCACTTAATTATTAAAGAATACGATTTGAGATGTGACCAAATTGCTCGCCGCGAGAATATGAGTGCGATCGTATGCGAGACAATTCGGACCGAATTTGAGACGAGTAAGCAAAATGCGAATGCAAAAAGTCGATGAATTTCGACCGGCTCGAATCGTTGTCGTAGGCAGACTGAATAACGACGGAAAAGAGTCGCGGTCGACCGATTTCCATAATAGGAGATTTTCGGCGCCGAACGTTCGAGAATATAGGTGTTTGTCACCGTTTTTCATTCTAAGAAGAATGCGATTGTCACACTTTTTCTTTGTTATGATCACGCGATTACGCGCCGATCGGCTGATCGCGACGATGTTTATTCTCGCTCGTGTTTTGCTTGCGGCTCTTACCGTTCAGATTTGTCGGTTGAATTTACGGTTTAAATTTATTGATTAAATTCAACGTTTCAATCTTGAACAAATGGTATGCATTGCAAAATTTCCATCGCCTTTCCAACAAATAAATTAACTTTTTTCAGAAAATCTCTATATACTATAATACATTAGATATAATCTCTCTCTTTTTGCAGTTAAAGAACAAAATGCATATCAAATATACTTACAGTAGTAAAAGTAGCAGACGCAGATTACAGTAACTATAACGACAATGCTTAAGGTGATTGATAGGTTGTAATAAACCGCTTTCGCGAGGCGGTGACGTATAACTCGGTCGGGATCCGGGGCTCGTGAAAGAGGGTATCGAGATACGAACGAAAGTATTGTTTAAGAAAATATAATTTATTGCGTGTTAATGTGTGTTTGTACAGTGTGCGTGTATATGTATAAACGAAGTGTGCGAGTGGGCGTGTGTATATTTGCGCGTGTGAGACGTTTGACGAGTGAGTGAGCGCGCAAATGTATAACAATAATTAGTTGGGCGCAGAGTGTCGATGTAAGCTCGTTATGTATGAGCGAATGGTACAAGCGTGTCGGTGTATCGCGGTGTGTGTGTAACGGTTGCCCGTACGGCGATGCGGCGGTGTGCGATGTATAAATGATTATAATATAAATGCGTGTACAATGCTGAACGGATCGTGGTGCGGTCGTATCGGGTGCGGTGTATTCAATGCAACGCACGAATGCGTTGCGCGGTTCGCGATTTTGGCGGATCGATAGAATATCGATTACGGATCGCGGCCAGCGATTTCGGCAGAGGCCGTTAGCTATTGGGCGGTAATTTCGGTCAACCCGGTGGGCGGTCTGCCCGTTCCCGTTTGCCTCTCTTTAAAGGTTTCGGACGGATCGCTCTCGGAGATGCCGCAAACTCTCGGCGGAGGCTGAGTACTCCCAACCCCGTTTTCTCTCTCTCTGAGCGGTTAAGGATCTAGACGGTTTTCAGGCGTCTTACAGACTCTGGCGGTGCGGAAGATCTGGTCCCGATAATTAGAAACGCGCTCTATTTATTACTAATTCTCTTTCCGGCGGATCGGCGGCCGGGTACGGTGCAGTAACGATGGGGGGAATGCATCGTTACAAGGTAATATTGCATAATCAATATCTCAGGAGTCCTCGAAATATCACCTTTGTTACACAAAAATATACTCTTAATTTTTTCATTTTATTTAAAAACTTATTTCTATTTTTAACTTTATTATTAAAAATTACTAAGTTTTTAAATTTTGTAAGCATTTTTATATCCATAATAAGCATATAATATTATAATATCTTCATTTGCTTATTTGTCAGTGTTGAAAAAGTAAATCTTGTAACAATGCACCCCCCATTGTTACCCGGCAGTAGACCGCCGGAAGTCTGCCGCCCGGCGAACCCCGGCCGAGGGGCAGAGCCCCATTGTTACCCGGCAGTAGACCGCCGGAAGTCTGCCGCCCGGCGAACACCGGCCGGGCAGGGGCAGAGGCGCCGAGCGCCCATTTTTAAACGTTAAATACCGCCGTTGCGATAAACAACCGTACGGCCGTTATAATCTTCTATTAGATGGCCATATAAAGTCTTTCTCGTATTTGGGGTATTTCAATATCAAATGAAACTCGTATAGAGTTCCTGGTAGTAAGTTTTCTATGTAGTACGTTACTTTCTCCCTTTTATTCTGCTCAAAGTCGTCTACAGTTTGCCACTTCTGCATCTCAACATTTTTGTATTCCAAAACATAATGAATTGTCAAATTAACACTAGGAATCCACGAGATATTCATACCGTTTATGCTAACCTCGTTCAAAGTTATATTGTTTGATTCCGAATACATGTACAAAGTTTTGCTCAAATTGTTATTATAATGATTGCTGAAGTTGGCTGAATATATGCGTACAAATACCCTATATTTCTGTTCTGGTATCAACGATTTGATTATTGTGAAAAATTTGCTGTCTTTCTTATGCTCTGTTTTATTAATAAGTAGCTTTTTTATTTATCGCGTACTATTAGTAATTAACGTCCAATGTACTTCGTAGATCACGGGCACGCAGATTAGTTTTTTGGGTAGCATCCAATAAACTATCGCTATAGTAGGCGTCAGAGCCTCAACTGTCACATTTTCCGGTGCTTCGAGCTTGCCCGATTTAGTTCTCATTGTCAGTATCACTTCCGAATAGAATAACGGTCCCATCGATAATTGATTAGAGTAAAAATTACCAGTAACTTGTATTCTGTAAGCGGCGTTAAATTCTGAATCTTGTAACATCGCTCGTATGTATGCACGGTGAAATTATCGAACTTATTAAGCTCATTATCCAAGCGATGGCTTATGTTGATTGTATATAGCGTGGTAGGTAAGTTGTAGTTTTTGCATCCACTCTTAGGGATCGGCTTCGGAAGATTTACGATAATGTTGTTCATCGTTACCATGTACATACGTTGGTTTTTCTACGTTGTAAACTTTTTTGTTAGATGTCAGACATCTCGGAGGATACGATTGCAAAGATTCACCGAGAGCATGGATTTTATTAATCCACCATATATCAGATTCTATTTTTTCGATGTATTTGGATGCGTCTACGCTCTCGAGAAGTGCATACTTTTTTTTAAATACATATATATGATTATTGTCAAATAAAATGTAAATGATTGTCATATCAAACGTAAAAGAATTGAAATATAGTTTATTGTCGATGTCTTTAGTTTGTAAAATCAAATTGCACATAGAAACATTAATGTCTGTCAGAATCAGGAAATCTTCGAATATCCAATAAATTAGCGGCTTCATAGAATTCATGTCGTCAACTTTCATGTCAATAAAATCTGACATACGGAATGAGAAGGGGCATATAATAGATAAATTATTCTGAATGATTTGAGCGTTATTTCCATCAAGATCCGATTGTATTATCTGAGGTTTGTTGTGCCTCTAGCCGCTAAGGAAGAGGTCTTTAGGGATTTATACGCCCAAAGGATTAGGATCCTTTGTGGACATATGTGTGTGTGGTTGTTCGCGGTTCTATCTTTCAGAAACTTTAACGAATTGAAATTATGCAAAAGTAGGGGTCCTTCAAGATTTTAACGAATTAGAATCGTGCCAGTGTCCTCATCCGGCAGGGGGTGTCTCCTATTTTCGTATTTTTACTCGTGCTGATCGTCGGTTGGTGAGTTCGTTATTATTTCAAAAGTTCCTTAAACATTAGCCTTTCTGGGGACCCTCGCGCACATGATCTGATTAGAAAAGGGTCTTACTTCCTTATAATTATTTTTGTCAACGTTGATGCAGCTGTGTTTATTACTTGTCCGTTAGAAAATTATTATCAGTATTAATGCAGCTGAGTTTATTAAACATTTCGTTAAAAGTTCTTGTTATCTCGTTGTTTTTCCGCCGGAAATTCTACTGCAAGGGGTAGATATTATTTTTTATTTATTTCGGGACCGGCATGGTTTGCATCACCGATTTCCTTGCGTCTTTCCCACGGATACTCGTGGATGTAGTTACTGACAAATGACAGTGTTTAAAAGAAACGTATGACACAAGATGCTTTGTTTATTGAACGGTTCATTCTTATCACCAACTGACGATCGTTACTGCGACGTCGCGGAAGAAAGGAATCGTGGAGTCGCCAGGACGTAACAGGTATAAATTGATATATTTCACAGATTCTTGTACACTTTCACTTAGTCGCGATTATAATAGTCGGGCGCGATACGTATTTCGATACTATTGATATGAGCGAGCGAGTAGCGAGTGATGTTAATGAGCTATGTTACTGAGCTAGCGTCAGTGCATCTCGCGCTCAATATATATTAATTAATTAGGTCGTTGATTAGGGAGGAGTGTGGTGTCCCTGACCGGAGCATGTCTCGTGCTCCG